CTTCCACTATTTGATACTATGCATTTCTGAATGATTTTATCACTTATTGGGGAGAGAAATTAACTTCTCTCTTGGGTTCAGAGTGTGCATGACAGTACTTCAGGCTGGAGGTAGTAACAGAGTAGAGAGGAATAGGCTGGTCTGCTCAATACTTGTTTGCAGGTGATGCTCAAATCCTCCAGCTCTCTTTTTTTTTTTATTTGAGGAGTTTGAGAGCCAACATAATTTTTATGTATTAAAGAGGCTTCCTGTTCACCAAGAAGCTCTACAAGGGCACAATTACCCAAACTGACCTTGATGCCCTCTAAAAATGTTGTTGTGAAATGAACCTATCTACAAGAAAGGGAAATTCTCAGAGTTTTGGGGTACTTGAGTAAAATACAGAGTGTGGCAATGAAAAAGAAAAAAAAATATGAGCAAGGAGAATTATGAAACTTTTAATCATAGCTGCTTTTGTATCTGTGTTGGATGAGGTAATTATGAGCCTAGCCCAAAACACTTTGCATGCTAAAATAGCTCTTTCCCCTTTGGAAAATCTTACTGAAATGCTACCTCTGTAAACAAAGTAAAATAACCCAAATTGTAGCTCTGAGAGGCTATTATCTTGGGAATTGGTCACTTCAGGTCACACAAAGATTTGCTTGGTTACATCTTGGTTAAGGTGATGTAATCATCACTATAATATCAAAGGGCCTTCCAAGGAAAGCAATACTAATAAGCTAATAACAAGGTTTAATAGAGTCTCTACTGCTTCTCTGTTTTGGGGGGTGGTGGTGTCAAAACAGATATTTTCCTCAGAGAATCAGGAAACCGGAATGAATTCCTTTGTCCTAGTTATGAGTTGGGTTTTCTGAAAGTGGACTTTTCATGAGTTTTACTTTGAAAAAAAATTCAGCAGTTGCCGTTTATAAAAATAAGAGGGAGCTGAAGTGCCTGTAGTGTTTTGTAATAGCAGGACACTTCTCTGAGTGGCCAAATTAAGGCTGTGTTTCAGAGTATGATTTTGAAATCATTACTTTTACATTTTTGTGTACCTTTAAATGAGTCATGCCAGGAAAGTAGGTAACATCTCATGATACTTTGATAATGTCCCAAACCCTCAGTTCCAATTCACTGCCTAACCAGTGTATTTTTCTCATAAAGAAACAAAATCTCAGTTGGAAATATCCATGTCCATCTCTACATGCAGAAGGAAATAGAAATTTCGACCAGTTTTAAATGAAATGAAGGTTTCTTTACAGCTGAAGGGAAATCTTTGCAGTCTAACATTTAATGGGTTGTATCAATTTGTGTTTTATGAAATCTGATAATCTTGTTCTACATTTTTAACTTTATAACTAAACGCCTTTAATTTAGACTTTGGAATAAGCAAGGCTATAATCAATTTTATTAGTTTTTCAATTTTAAAAGCTAGTAAAAATTATATTTGAACCTGAAGTTGAAAATGAGTGTCAACGTTTTTTTCTTACATCTAAAACAAATTTGAGAATGCCATCATTAATATATTAAATCATTAAAATATGAAAGCAGGATAGTTGAAAACATATGAAATATAGCACTTGTAGATAATTGGTATCCTTTCTTGCAGGCTTATCTGGCAAGCTATCAGAACCAAAGGTTATAAACTGCTATTTTATTTATGAATCTGTTAGGAATTGTGAGTGATCTAGTGAGGAAGAAGAACAATTAAAATACGAGATTGTTATTTGCTCTCGTACAAAGGTTGATGTCAATAAAGAGGAAAGAACTGTATGGAAACAAACATGCATACGCATGATCAAAACTCATTAAATCCAAAATTCATTTCCTTCAATTCTAATTATCTTCACTATATCTTTTACCTTTGGCAGATTTTCTTAGGGTTGGAAGCTGCAACGATAGAGTTTTTCACTTCTAAAGAGAAGTGATAAATCTGAAATGAACAACTGCTAATATGATTGGTAGGTTGCTGGAAGAAAATGCTTTTTATGCAGCATCTTGTCCAAGATTCAATCAGGCTTAAAACCAAAGCATTCCAGTCAGACAGTTCTCATGGATTTTCAGTAATGAACAAGATAGGGTGGGTGGGGGAAATATTTACCAGTGTCTCTAAGGCTTTTGAACTTCATATTCCTTTGCATAGATAATTTACTAATCAGAAGTTAGTTACTACAGCTGGGTCTGTCAACAGATGGCTTCTTTGCGCACATTTAGTCCTTGTGACGCGTGGCAGGGCACAGCACGAAGTGGCAAGAACTCTGCTTTCTCCAGCAGATGAAAAAAGATCAAACTCTCCTTAAACTATTCATGACAAGGGGACAGTCTTTGTAAAGATTTGATCATTCCAGGTCCAGAGACGTCAGGCCTTAGGGACACAAGTTAGTGACCAAGGGCCAAGACAAATGTTTCAGCTCCCATGGTGTAAGAAATGAACCTTGGCCACGTTTTTGGAAGATATGGTTTGAGTTAACAATAGTGAAGAAAGTAATGAAAGTCCATGAATCTTTCATGATTGATTGTGAAGTCATTGTCACTCTCCTTTACATGAAATTGAAATAAGCATAATCAAAGTAAATTTTCTTTTCATCTGATATTCAGTAGTTCATCTAAATTTGAATATGCTCATGTTGATAATTAATTTGCTTTAGGCTTATACTCTAAATGAGAAAATGAAAGAAAAGAACAACACAGAAAAAGGCCAACAAAGATGAAACAGGGTGGGTAATTTCAGGGTTTATTTTTGTCTGTGTGATGCTGAGCATTTCCACAGAGCCACACTTCCCTCCTTGTGGTAACAATCAGGACTCAGGGTCTGCTGTAAACCCTTTGCTCATTTTCTGGTCAGGTAGTATTCAATTCTATAGCCTCTTGTTACAGGGGTCATAGACTTCTAAAATGATGGTTGCATATTTCTGTAATGAAGCAGAAAAATTTACACAGAAAAGTGCAAAACAACTGCAGCTCCTACATCCCAGGGAGAAAGACAGGTCACTATAAAATGTCATGAAAAAGGAAGGACAAAACCAGGTCAGCTGTTATATTTGTTATCCTTATTATCACATCCATAGCCACAAATTTTTCATCAGTTCATCTTTTGCCATTTAATTTATCTCCTTGCACTCTAGGAAATGTGATGTGACTGAGAGCTCTGCAAAAATCATTGCTATTAACTATTAGCTAAAAAAATGCTGTTGAAAAAGCTTCCCATAAGACTGAAAATTTATGTTGTACAAGTCTGTGGCAACAGAAAGTGAATATTAACTATTTTTTCTTTTCTTTTCTTTGGCTACTACTGGGTGTTCTGTTAAATGCCTGAAGTGTATAAAGCACAGTGTTAAAAAAACAGCTGTTTTATAAAATATTGAACTTATGTTCTTACATCTTTGACAAGTATTACATTGAAAATATTTGTTTATAGAAGCCTGTACAACATGAATATTTAAATATATAACAACTTATGTCCTAGTAGAAAGGTCAGCCCAGCTGAAAAGTCTTCAGAAAAGGGCAGCTGATGTGTGGGAAACTGATCTACATCCACTGAGGAGTTGCTAACTTTGCATATTGATTGCATTAAAATCGTGACCCATGGTGTAAAATGAGAGTAACTCAGTTTATGGGTGGAGAAATGTTTTAGATTTAGATGAGGATTAAACTCCACTGTGTACCTAGCAGTCTCCTAATACTGTCATTGCAAGTTTCCAACTAACTCTTGGTTAAATGTCTGTGTTTCAAATGAAGGAATTTGTCTTTAAAAAATGTAAAAATATACAGTAATTTATTGCATTTTGAGACTGCCATGTGACTGAATGTCGTGGTGAATCAGAAATTTGTTATTATTTTATCTTTACACATATTTCTATTTTACTATGTTTGGGCCTTTGGGAGGTGTTCAGCTAGCAGGATATTGGGAGAAAAACAAATACATGGAAATTTTTGTAGAGACACTTCTCTTTTCAACAGAGCAAAAAGCTCTGTCTATTTTGAAGGCTTGTGCTTTGAAATATAAAGAGCTCATCTGAAAGACAAAGTACCTCTTATGCCTGGGAGAGCAGAGGGAAGGGAGAAGGTGGAACTCCCAAGACTTGCCAAAGCCCAGGATGGCCAGAGAACACGTGCAGACCTCCAGCACCCTACATCAACAAAGAAAGGTTAGGCCCACAGTGTTATTCCAGGCCTTCTCCTAAATACTGGGAGAAAGAAAAGGGGGAGCTAAAAGCCACAGCACAGCACTTCATCCTCTGGCTTTGTATCCTGTACAAACATTTTATTTAACCACTATTTTGGCTCTATAAAATAAACAAATCTCTACTGCAGAGATGTCAGTTAAATGACTTCTAGTACTTTTAGTAGGCTTCACATGGGAGACACTGGATTTGTATTGATTTACACCAGCTGATGGGCTGGCACAATGTGTATGCTCTGCAGCTTTTATAAGATAATTAATGAATAATTCAATATTCTAGTACTTTAAAAGGTGGTTGTGCCTCACAGAGGGAATGACTACCATTGCTGTGTTGAGAGAGATATTTCAAAGGTCCTTCACTTTGATTGCAAAATTTTGAAATGCTCCTTGGAAGAAATCCAAACAAACACAAAGTACGACAACTTCTGGTCAGATTCCCACCCAATTCCAGTATTTCACATCTAAAAGCCTTTATCATTTTTTATGTGTTAAGACAATATTCCCTCATCAGCTCCTCAAGATGACATATGTAATGTCATCAGCATCAGGCATCCTCCTCTCAGTTGCTGCTTTTCTCTTTAACTTCTCCAGCACAGGCAACAGTCCACATGCTGAACTCTATTTGGGATACTAAAAACCTTACCTTGTTTAGATGTCTTGTTCCCTCTTTTTTTCCTAGCAGGATGAATGGAGAATTTTGGACAGATCATATCCCTGGCCTTAGGCTGACCCCACCAAGGGACCAGCTGTGAGACTGCTCACTGTTGCTGTGAGCAAATTTGGATACACCACTGAGCATCTCTGCAATTCTGCATTCACCTCCAGAATTCACACCTTGGAATAAATAATTTTGAACAGCAATTGTAAGGTAAGTGTAATGATGGCAAGAGATGCCAGTTTGACAGATCTAGAGAGCTGCAGCCTCTCCCTCATTCTTCACTTTTATGAGAACACTAAACAGGAATTCAATCCCATCCCTATCTGCAACATCTGCACACACAGGCTTCTCCCTGGGCTGGAGTGATCTGCTCTGGAGCCAGCCAGAGAGTTTTCAAACAGGGTAAATATAGCCTTTGGAGGAAGTTTTCCTGTGTAGGGAAGCCAAGGTTGCCTCTTTACAACTGATTTCCACAGCTCAAACACCAGTTTTCTCTGTTACATAAATTATTTTACTAGAATGCTTTAATATCCAGTAATATTTTATTAAGTGAATCGTGGAGCTGACAGAAGGTTTTTGTACTAAAGAAGTGCACAGCTGTAAGGTGAGGGGAATATCAATGGGTTATGTTTTATGAAGCCCTCCCTTATGGATTCTTTCTGCTATCCCTCTAAAACTGGGCATGGGATACAAGCTGTGACCTTGTCAATTCTGAGAAGGGCTGGATAAATACTCAATGACTTTTATGGAATGATCATTTTAATATAGCCCAGAATTAAATTTTTTTCTTTTGCAAAACACCACATTTGACTCATCATAAGTTTGAGATCTGAAGTACCTCTGAGATCTTTCCTGCTGAACTGTTGCCCAACCACAAATATTCTCCACTCTGTATCTGCATTTCAGTTCTTCTGTACTGGAGTTTATCTTACCTTACAAAAGACATTAAAAAAATAACTATTCTATCTGTGCAGTTCCCAGGGCTTCACTTGATTGCAAAGCAGAGACACAGGGATTTCTGGAGGGCAATTTATCCCAACTGTCCCAGATGCCTGGATTTCACATGAACTTGCAAATTGTCTTTCAACAATATCAACCTGTTTGACTATTTCATCTCCCAAGATCACATTGATTTCAGAGCTTGTAGTTCAAGTGCTTGTCAACCCTTTCATCCTGATGTTATACATTTAGAATATAAATGTTGTACTTATGGTGCCTGTCTTCAATGGCAAGAAATACCTTTATTGATAGGTATGCTTAGAGTAGGGTTACCAATCAAGTGTAGAAAAAGAATATTATGAGTATTTTGCCTAAATTCTACTTTCTTAATTTGTTTATAAAAAGAAGTGCCAGAAGATGTCAGAACATCTTGCAAGGACTATTTCTGCAATCCCTATATCCAGGAGGCTTGCATTCATGTCCAAAAAGAAAATGTAACGGCCTTGACATGAGTTTGTTTTGATGCACCTACAGAGTTCTCCCTTTAATATTTTAATTACTTTTCTCTATGTTTTAAAATGATTTTAAGTAATGGCTGAAAATTAGCCTCTCTGGTCTCATAATTCCTGCTTTTACAGTATACTGAGATTGATCTTTCTGAGATTCATACAGTCATCCATGAATCCTCAAAAATAATCACAACTGGTTCAGTTTGCTCTAGGTAAGTTATTTGAAGTGTACCTAAGGGTACAAAACATCTTTATTTTTCTAAACATATTTTTCCCTTTCTGATCCCTCAATTAAAAAAATATAAATATCTGATTAATTGTGGGATTAATTATGACAATATTAGAAATTACTGCAGTGAAAGAACTAACAGTCTTCTGTGTAATTTTTTTCTCAGTAAGGAGAGAGTCTCTGTGCTCCTTTGATTTCTAACATGTAGCTGCATTTTGTTCTCATTTTTCATACATTCTTATGGTAGCTTTTCTAGTTTCATCTATGCTTTTTCTTCTCGTCCTTAGTTGCTTTTCCTGGATCTCACTTTTCTTCTCAGCTTTCTCTGTTCCTTTTCAGTCTCACATCCTTAAAGGGTTCCTAATGGAGCCATATCAACTTTTCACCCCGATCTTGAATCCTTCCTCCTTTCAAGTTCTCTCATTTAGAAATTCCCTGTCTTGTCTTTGCTTCCCTGTTCCTTTTCCTGAAAACATCTTCCAGTTCCTTGAGCTTTTGTGCAGCTCATGATCCACTCCCGTGTGACCCCAGCTGGGCTATTCCATCCAGCCCTGGGATCCCAGCACAGGAAAGACATGGACTCGTTGGAGCAAGTCCAAAGAGAAGGCCACCAGGTCATCAGAGGGATGGAGCACCTTTGCTATGAGGACAGGCTGAGAGAAATGGGATTATTCAACCTGGAAAAGAGCTGAGTGATCCAAAATGATCTAATTGTGTCTTTCCAGTTCTTGAAGGGAGTTGACAAGAAAAATGGAGACGGGCTCTTTACAAGCACCAAGAGTAACAGGACAAGTGAGAATGGCTTCAAACTGAAAGAGGGCAGGTTTAGATCAGACATTAGGAAGAAATTCTTTACTGTGAGGGTGGTGAGATTCTGGGATATGTTCTCCAGAGAAATTGTGGGTACCCTATCCCCAGAAGTGCTCAAGGCCAGGCTGGATAGGACTCTGAGTCACCTGGTCTAGTTGAAGGTGTCCCTGCTATGCAAGGGGGGTTTGGAGATAGATGATTTTAAGATCCCTTTCATCCCAAACCATTATGTGATGCCATCCTTATTGTGCTATTGCTTCTGTTAAAGAAAACTCAGGGTTTTTTTTCTGATCTGCTCTTCTCTTCTCAGTCATAAACTAAAACAACTTCCCCTTTTCTGCCCTCCAATTATTCTGAAAACATGTATCCTCATTCCACCTGACTTTCAAAGAGTCACTGATCTCCAGGACATCCTGCTCGTTGAAAGCTTGAAAACTTTGCTATTAGAAAGTATCATTCCTCTCTTCCTCCTTACTATCTGATTATAGTATGTTGTGGTGTTGACATGCCCCCTTTCTGCTTCCTTTCTTTTCACCAAGAAATAAAGGAAACACTCAGACCTGTTTCTGGCCTTCTCCTGGATTCCAGAGATTGTTTTTTGCTTGTTCTTTGCATAGAAAAGAATTTCCCTAATTTTTATTTTTTTTTTTCCCCTGAAGTTTCTGTACTGGTATTGAGATCTTGCTCTGATTTAGCACACTGTTCCTTCTGATGTACCTATGCAATGCTATTTTCTGTTAGGAAGCTTCAATTTTATTATTCTCAAGGAGCATTCTCCAAAAAAGAAACACTTCTGGCAACCAGGTAATTTATTTGGGGACTACTCAGTTCATTATAAAAGAAACACGGAGCTGCCTCTTTTTCCAGAAGGATGACAAAGTAGATCTCTCTTTTTATGAAGTGTATTGTCTGTTACCTATATTTTTGCTGATCCACATCTTTCCCCTCCTTTATCCAACTACACATAGCATATATTCAGTGCTAGTATTTTCTTTACATTGCTCTAGAGCTAGTTTCTTGGTGCCTACAGCACAAGCAAGGGCAAATTTGTAATTAAATGTAGAATTTTATTGGCACTACAGAAACTCAAGAATATTTCTTTATAAAACTTATTTTTGTAGTTTTGTTTTGGTGATAGTAGGGGATGTCCCACTGCTAATTTTCCTTCCATAACCTTAAATCTGCACTGTATCCTCATGTCCACTGAATTACTGTTACAAGACAAAATCTTCACATCATATACTATATTATAAAATCAACAAAACAACAAAAACCACTACTGTGGAATACTATATGCTTTGTGAAATCACTTTTGCCTGTTGCTATGGGTAGAGGATGCACAATGAACAGTTGTAAATCGAGTTAGTTTTACATACGTGTTTCTGCAGAAATAAATCAGTCACTAGAGAATCATTCTCTTGGAAACCAAACACTGCGGGTGAGTAAAGAGGCTTGGGAGTGGGGATAATCAGCCATGGCTACATCTGCACAGCAAGGACCAATAGTCTATCCCAGAGCATTGTGTAATACAACAAAATCTCCCCCTTAACCTTGAATCTGTCTTCATTTGAGCAAAGTCCATATTTAGTTCATTGCTCCCCAACACACAAGTGTTATTTTATGGAAAAAAAAAAGGTCAAGCTGAGTCCAGCTGACCCCTTTTTGTTTCTCCTTGCTTAGTTGAATATTTTCTTTTTTTTAAATGAAAAATTCAGCATGTTGCAAGCGACTCGTATGTGAAAGATATCTGGACATGAGCAGATAGGGACACAGCATGATCTTTGCTGCCATATAATCTTCCATTGTGCTTCCCATGAGATCAGAATACAGCTACAACACTATAAATAAATAAAGAATAATGAAATACTCTTGACCTTGCTGGAATACTCCCTCTCTCCTCTAGGCTACTCCTGTAATATTGGTCAGAAAACACTCAATATCCATGGTAATCCTTGCTGGCATATTTGACACCAGAGCTCAGATTGTATTTTCTGCTATGCTAAATGATTTGTTTGAGTCATAAACGACTGTTTATGACTCTCTTGTCCCATTCTTTGCTCCACTTCTGTGTCTTTTTCCAGGAGGGCAAAGAGAATAGAGATTGTGGAGCTTCTTGAAGCAATACCCCACCGTCTTTGCCAGCTGTCATTTTGTCATTCCTCCCTTCACAAAATGTGTCCACAGGGCTGAAGGACCCTTAAGCTGTCTTTTGTTTTTCTTATGGCCAGTTGCGTAGACCATTGCATGGTCACCTATTATTCCTCCTGAAGAAGAGCAGTTGTTAGGGCTTTATTTTTTTTTTTGTAGGACAGGGGTGTAGCCTGGTGTAGTCAAATACTGTCATCCCATCTTTTGTGCTGGTGCTAGAGATCTTTTCCGACTTCTCAAAAGGGATTTCTGCAGTCAATCCAGAGGGCAGCAACCCTGTGTAATAATGAGCATCTTTGACCTCTACTGAAACCTGGCTTTCCAGGATGCAAATGAGAGATATCTCAGAAGAGAATTAAAATGTTGGATTTTTTTTGTTTGTTTTTTATTATGGCTGTTATCACACAGTAAAAGAGAGGGCAACATCCTTTGGGGTTTTCCATATGTATAAAATGAATTAGCAAACAAGGTAAATATGCAATATAAGGCCAAATTATCAAGGTCTGGACATTCAGTCTGGATAAGTTCTTAGCACTAATATCCTGTATGTATATCTCCAGTAGGATATGGGGATA